TACAGTTCTGTGTTTGCATATTTTTGTGATATGTCATTTAATCAATGAAATGCATATACATTTCTATCCCCAAATTATTGTCATTCAGAAAAACCTTCTGGGGAATATGTTACTTATTATTAACACATTGAATAGCAGTCTTCTCATTCTTTGAGATATTTCACTGGACTATTGCCATTTTAAGGTCCACCTACACTGAAACAACTGAAATGTTGACTTTAATCAAATGTATTATGTTAAAAAGATTTCGCATAACAGTATGAGGTTAGTTGAAAGCAATAATATTAAGTTGAACCTGATGTTACCTAATATTTGTTGCTTTCAACTAACCGCGTACAGTTATGTGAAATCTGTTGACATAATCCATCTGATTAAAGTCAAAGTTCCAGTTTTTCCAGTGTAGGGGAAGTAATGATCTTTCTAAAATACTCTGTAAATCTAGGGGAAAAGGTGTCATTTGTAAAAACACTTCAATATATCTGCCCAAATAAAATGTGCTTGAAAAGCTGAACCGAGTATATTTTGCAGAGTGTTTTCATTGTCCTGCAGTGGCCCATTATACGGCCACAAGCCAGCATAGCATCACATGCAGCTGATTATCCCTGTAATTCTCCACGACTGCAACAACGCTGTCCTTTTACGCAAATGACTTGAGCGTGAGCCCACAGTCCATGTGACTGGCCAGAAGGTCTCCGGATTATTTTTTGACTTTCTTTGTTTTTGTGAATTGTCGCTGGAGGGAAAGGAAGGCAACAAAACTGTAAGTAAGTCTTTGGAAATAACAGATTGTTATTGTGGCTTAGCAGTTAAATGTAGATCACATTCACAGACAGAAAGTAACTTCAGGTCAAATTGAAACACTTGTGACTGAGTTACATGAGATACTTTCATGTACCATAACATTTCAAAGTAAGTAAAGTATTTCATTATTTGGTCCGGTGTAAGTAAGTAAACTTTCTGTGTATGTCCCCTGAAGGTCACTGCGGCCTGTATCCTACATTTTCATCGACTACAAATGGACAACGCAGGGATGAAAAAAGGAATTGTGGTATGTTTAACGCTAATATCATGAATTCAAAAGTTTCAATTCTCAAGTTTTGATCTCAACAGATAATGAGTCATTGTATGTGTGTGTAATTATTCGCTCAGCTTTTAGAACTGCTGTTAGGAGATAAAATGTTCACTTAATTCCCCAAGTCATTTTTGGAGTCATTTAACAATAAGAAGCTTTTGAATAACCTTCACAGCTTCCCTTTATGACATCCTACAGCAAAATGTATACAGAAATGTGAAATAGCCATAAAAACTAGACTTCTTTAGACATTGGAAATCCAACTGCCTTTTTAAAGTGCTTGAACCCTTTTTTCCTGTTTCCTAAATGTCTACAGTTATTTACTTCCATGCCCCAACTAACTAACTAACTGCTTCTTCTGTCCCAGCTGAAAGATGACTGGCCAGGATATAGTCTGGACCTGTTCACTTACCCTGAACACTACCATGAAGACATAGAGAGTGTTTACATTCCACATGGGATAATCACGAACAGGTAAAAACTACACAAAAAAAAACAAAACAATGCAAAGTGATTTGTAAAAACGTTTTTTGCCTTCATTTGTATTTTTTTTCTATGCATTTCTCCTGCAGGGTGGAGCGTCTGGCCCACTACATCATGGATGACTTTGCTGACAACAAAAACATCATGGTGCTGTGCGTCCTGAAGGGAGGCTACAAGTTCTGTTCAGACCTGGTGGAGTTCATCAAGGTGCTCGGCCGCAACTCCAACCAGTACCTGGAGACTCGGGTGGAGTTCATCCGTCTCAAGAGCTACCTAGTAGGTGCATGGCATAATGTACACATAAATGGTACACACATTAATACATACAAACACACATTTGAGATATTAACACTACACAGCAGGCTTTGCATTTTATTTTGTGTCCCCAGATGTAAAAAAAACAAAAAAATTAAAAATGCTTTAAAAAAAAGGATTTCAATTATTTTTTTTCTCCGCTGCAAAAATGTAGAGTGTGATTAGCAATTATTTTTATTAAATTCAGAGATTATTAATTGAGAAAAACAACATTTGTATTTATTTGTTGGGTGAAAAGTGACCAAAACAAGCATTTGAGGGCATCAAAATTGCCTCTGGGAATTTATAATTATTATTATTTTCATTATTTTTTGACATGTTATCGACACAATGAATGACACGTTTATATAAATATATTTTAAAAAAAAAATGAATGACAGTTAATCAATACTCAAAATAATCCTTATAATTAAAGCCCCTACATTCATCATGCACTAAAGACACTTTTTAACTCCTTATTTGTAACTGTGTGCTACATCTGACTTCTCGCTCAGCCACCAGGTGTCATTGTTGCTCATATTTAGTGAGGAAAGATTACATTCAGGACACCTCAAGGACGATTGATTATGGAGCCACTGCAGAGCTCTGGTCAGGAAAACACCACCCTAATTGGTGCTGTTTTGCTGCCAAGAGAAACAGCTTATGGCACTGTCTAACACCTGGAATGTAATTGAGGAAATAACTCTGGGAATGACACAGTGATGTTTACAATGATTTCACTACGCACTCGTCACCGCAGTTACTTATTTTCTTGAGTGTATTTTGGCAGAGAGCACCTAAAATGATGTGATTTACATGTCTCTGCATGTGGTCACATTCCTCCTCTCCTTTTTCAGCGCAGGGGAGGCTTTATTATTTATGTATCCAGAATTGGCTTTCACAAAGGTCCAAGGGATTTAATGCATTCTTATCTGAATTATAGATCATTTCCACTTGCTGGGTCAGGTGAACCATGAGGTCAAACGATAATGTCCGATGTTTGCTCAAAGTCACAACACATTTTCATTTAATATATGATATATCATGATAATTATTCAAGTAGCAATGCAACAAGGACAATTAGGACAATATTATGTATCAAGATTAACAGATAAAAACACAAAAAATTGAAAAAGACAATAACATATAAAAGGACAATATATATAAAAAAGATAATAATATAAAAAATCACAACATATTTCGAAGTAAGCTTGAAGCGTATATGTGAATTAGGTAATAATTACATTAATAAATAAATGAATACATCAGAAAACAGAAAAAAAAAAACGCAACATTATTTTTGGTATCAACATACAACAGGGCAGTTAGCAGCTTTTGTTATTAGAGGAAGGGTCTGAGTAATGACGCTGTGAGTCCATCTCAACATCTCTGGTCATAATGGAGTCATGTGACCTGCCCCCAGGGTTGGGATTTTGTCCATGTCACTGCTCCTCTTATCTGAGTGATGCATTTGTGGCCCAACAATCTAACTTCAAAGCTGTCATCCTTAAAGGCTTTCGGTGGAAACAGAGAGCCTGGCTTTGTTTATGCAAAGAATAATATTTTACACTCATAGTCTCGTATTATTAATCTCCCTGTGTGCATTTGTCTCGCTGCAGACAGCTCTTTCTTGAGAAACACTAGTAACATACCTTTGAGAAAACATACATTATGCTATTTCTCAATCCGGATTTTCATTGTAATTCCTGGCGGCAAAAAAATGAATATATCTTCAAAATCTCCTTGAGGAACAAGCAATAGCGCAAGGAATCTGTTTTGCAAAAATAAAATAAACTGACAACGATTATATACATTACTTATAATGATTGCATAATATTGAAAAAAATAGTTTGTAACAATACCAATCATCTTTCTCTTGCCATCTTTTCCTGCCCAGAATGACCAATCAACAGAGCAGCTGCAAATCATAGGAAGTGGAGATCTGTCGTTCCTACGTGGAAAGGTGTGCATAAATAATTGTGCATAAAAAAATGTGTGTTTTTTTTGTTTTTGAGATGAAATGAAACTTTGGCCTCAAGGGGGGGCTGTCAGTTAAACTTTCAGAAAGTAATCACCTTGTAACAAAAGAGAAATGACTCATTAGTTTCCCTTTGAGAATAAACATTTTAGATAACATAAACAGAAGAATAACATGTTTTGTTTCAAATATGTTTTTATTGCCCCTTGGACAGGATCACTCCCCTATACTTCCACTGTTGAAGCTTTCTCTCCTCTTTGATCCCACCACACGTGGGTCACTTTGTTTCAAGCCCCCTGACCAGCCTAACTATGAATTAGGAATTTTAGGAAAATGAACGTTCCCAAAAGCCAGATTTACTGACTGTTCATCCCTTTTGAGCTCTGGCATGGATGACAGAGGAGTCTGTAGGAATGATCCCTTCTCACATGAGATCACTAACTCAGCTCGCGTAAATATGCCCACACGTGTTTGCTTAAAAAAGACTAATGTTGAATTCCTTTAACTGAGATGCATTCTAGCCGCGGTTTAAAAGGTCAATGGGAGTAAAAACAAAAAGGCTGACAACCACCTTGCACAGAACACATGAATCACTCACTTACAATCCTTCACAAGAATGAAAATATCCCAGTTAACCTCCCACAAAGTCTCAAATCAAAAAACGAACCATGTGTCATCAGTCATAATCAGAACTGTTGTTGAGTCACAGCTTCAGGTATGAGGGTGGTCATACTGACACCTTCATGCTTGACAGTGGATACACTAATAGCATCCCTTTATTTTCACAAAGTAATGAAAATATAATTTGTTATGATCAGTTTTTAAGCCAGGCTAGAATTGGAGCTTAGGACAGGGCAATGTGAGACTGTCTGTGTTGTCCTAAACTTTGTTCCAGAATGAAATAACGCTATAACTATTAGATCGACTGACGTTAATTTATTTTATGGTCCCCAGAGGATGAATACTAAGTACCTTTGTTATCCCCTTACTCTTCATTTAGACCATCGTAAGATTAACATTGGTGATATGTAGTGAAATGTCACAACAACCATTTCATAGATGGTCATGAAATGTTGGGTCACACATTCTTCCACTTTGGATGAATTGTTGTAACTTTCATGATTCTATGCCTTTCGTCCAGCGCCATCATCAGGTCAAAATCTGTCATTATAGGCCTATCTGATAAACATCATGATGTTAGTTATGTCATTTTGAACATGTGAAAGTAAATACAAAAACAACACTATCACCAATTTGTGTATTGGCCTCCTGCAGTTTAATGTACTTAGAGAGCATTTTGGTTACTGCCTGCATTTTGGTTACTGCCTTCATACACTAGCAATGATTGGATAATACCAAAGCTTTTTCTACAGTCATGATTAATTGACTAAACTACAACAATCCCACACTCATGATATATGGATCCTAAGAGAACTATAAATTATTTTAAATGGTTCTATATGCTGCAAAATGACTGCCAATGCACGATTGTTGCCCAACTGACCGTATAGTATGTTTATATTCTCCTGCATGCAGCGGTCATGTTTGAGTTTTTTGTTTTTTTTTTACACGTCCCCCTCCACTTTCCCTGAGTGTTGTGTAACAGGGTTCAGGTGTAGACGGAGAGAACATTGGCCAAGCGCCTGCATTCTCTCCGATCACTCTCCCCAAACCATAGATACTCTCCACTGGTCTCACAAAGAG